ACGTGTATCCAAGAAAACAGGTGCTTAGTGTGAAAGTCTTTGTGCTTGTCTTTCTGTATCATCACAACGTGTATCCAAGAAAACAGGTGCTTAGTGTGAAAGTCTTTGTGCTTGTCTTTCTGTATCATCACAACGTGTATCCAAGAAAACAGGTGCTTAGTGTGAAAGTCTTTGTGCTAGTCTTTCTGTATAATCACTACCTGTATCCAAGAAAACAGGTGCTTAGTGTGAAAGTCTTTGTGCTTGTCTTTCTGTATCATCACAACGTGTATCCAAGAAAACAGGTGCTTAGTGTGAAAACCTTTGTGCTTGTCTTTCTGTATCATCACAACATGTATCCAAGAAAACAGGTGTATAGTGTGAAAACTTTTGGTCTTTACTTTCTGTATCATCACATGTATTTTAGAAAACAGGTGCTTAGTGTGAAATCCTGAGCTAAAAATTAATGTTCCTTCTGATATATTTATTTCTTATGCACTAGAAGCCAATCTAAATGCTTGAAGTTATGGTTTAAGTGCTAAAGTAGGCCCAACATTTGTTGTATAAAGGTTGTGATAGATCTGAAATGCTATTTTACATGCCTCTGATTTTGAATGTCAAAAATTTAAGGGGAGGGGGAGGTAATCAGTTTGATTTAAAACAGAGTTCTGGGCTTCAGTCTCTCTACAAATAAGCCTAATAGTGTTAAAACTCTATTGTTGTATAAGATATTGAATCTTGCTATTTCAGCTTATTTCCTCCGATGGTGAACGGGGAAGAAAAGGAACAAAGAAAAGGAAGCGTTCACCTTCACCTCTGTCTGATAAACGACGAAGGAAAGGGTCTGTTTAGCTCTAAATAATATATTTTGACCTAGAACAGAAGACATTTATAACACCAAAAACTGTTGACTAGGAGTAATGGGTTAATTAATTCTGATGGTTTGAAAGTTTTCATGAAACATTGTTTATAAAAGGTATCATTTAAACTCATAAACAGTGAAACATTGTAACTAAGGATTTTTTAAGTTTACTGAACAGTAAGCAAAAATGTTTCATGGGAAACTGTAACAAGATTGTTAGTTTTAAAGTTTTCTTTTTGTGTTACTTTACAGTATATATGCTTGCTTTAAAGTAGTTTTAACATATGATAGTGAAATGATGTTAAGTTGTACTGGTATTCTATGGGATCAGAGGCGGACGTAGTCCTGCTATTGGCACCAAAAAAAAGTTCCTGCGTGGTGATGATGAATCTGATGACTTAACTAAAGATATGGAAGACCCGTCTCCAGAGCCCAACGTACAAGAAGTTCACTTACCAAAAACTAGTAAGTTTTGTAGAAGAATTGGATGTCGGAATTTCTTAAGAAGAGTGTTTTTTTTATTCTGATCTCAGGATGAAAATAGCAGACTTTGTTTTCCAAGTTTATTTACTTTTTAAAAGCTTTTTTATTTTTGTTTTGCTTACTGTATATGAAAACACCCTAAACTATTATTTATCACATATTTCTTGTCAATAAATTTCAATGTAATGTTAACAATCATTCAAAGAATTTTGAAATAAATTACAGTGAAATATTTATTAGCACATTTATTTAAATGTTAAGCTCAATACTTCTATTAAAAAAAACATATTAGGTGTTATCTTAACGTTAAGCATAATTTGACAGAAACTGCATATTCATTAATATATTTTTTTTCCTTTTAGATACAAACCCCAGAAGTAACAAAGACAGTGAAATGCAGCCTGTTAAAGGAGGAACACTTGCTGATCTTGATGGAAATGAGAATGAAGATAAAGTACATTTTATTTTCTGATAAAACCTTACTTTTCACATTTCACACCAAGTATTCTTCTCATTCACACTTCAAATCCACTCTACCTTGTTCACACGCTGCATCCACTCCAATTTATTTATATTTCATATCCACTCTCCTCTTTATTCACATCCTTTCCTGTCTCACACCCCACCTTATTCAAAGTCAGTATCCATTCCTTATTTAAACTTCACATTCATTCCACCTTATTCTGACTCAACATCCACTCCACTCGTTATTCACGTCCTTTCCTGTCTCACACCCCACCTTATTCAAAGTCAGTACCCATTCCTTATTCAAACTTCACATTCATTCCACCTTATTCTGACTCAACATCCACTCCTCTCGTTATTCACATCCTTTCCTGTCTCGCACCCCACCTTATTCAAAGTCAGTACCCATTCCTTATTCAAACTTCACATTCATTCCACCTTATTCTGACTCAACATCCACTCCATTCGTTATTCACATCCTTTCCTGTCTCGCACCCCACCTTATTCAAAGTCAGTACCCATTCCTTATTCAAACTTCACATTCATTCCACCTTATTCTGACTCAACATCCACTCCACGTCTGCTTCGTATTAACGCTTTACATCCATTCGTTATATGTTTTAGGAGAATAAAGAAGATGGAAAGAGAAGTTCTAGACCAGGAACGCCATCTGGTCAGCACGGATCAGAAAGAAAACATGATGATGGACAAGATGATAGTGTCACAGAACAAACTAATCACATTATCATTCCTAGTTATGCTGCGTGGTTTGATTACAATAGGTACGTGAAAAAAGTCTTCCTTTCAAATATGGGGAACCAGAATAATGGTAGTTTTGAAAGTTTACTTTGGATATTGTAAACAAGACTGCTAGTTTACAGCATGTAAGATGTTATTAACATGTTTAATTTATAGACAAAACTGCTAGTTTACATCTTGAGATGTTATTAACATGTTTAATTTATAGACAAGACTGCTAGTTTACAGCTTGTGAGATGTTTCTAACATGTTTAACGCTCTCAATACAGGCTCGGCCAATTTGACTGACCACATGACCTCTTTGTATTCATTCAGAGTCTTTATAGTCTTTATACCAGTAACTTTTAATATAGAATATATATCTTCACCAAATTTGGCAGTCTTTCACATACAAAAACATCATATTTTTTAGTGAAGTATTTTATATAAACTAAAAAAAAGATTTGTCCTTGAATATATTTAGTATTTGCTTTAAATAGTCTGTATGCAGTGATTTTCATGGTAACATTAAATAGTCCGTGTGCAGTGATTTTCTCAAAAATCTCTAAATTTCTTTTGTGTAATATTTGAAACCTCCTAAATACATTTCAAATGTTTGTTTTCAGTAACAATTTATATTTCATCTTTTATCTTCTCTACCCTAACTCTATGCATAGTTGGTCAATTTGACTGACTTCGTAACCAGCAAAAAAACAAAATAAGTCTAAATTATCCTTTTTCTTTCCAGAATGACTACATATTGTAACATGAAACTACATTTGTTTATGCTAAATAGCTTTAAATTCATAACAGTATACATCTATCAATAAATAAATTTTGTTGTTTTATTGCCCTCTGAACTATGTCTAAATACTATTCGCACCATTATAAGTTGTAAATCACTTGGGGAATGTGGAGGTCATGTTATGCTATATATTATTATTTTTATTTATTCTACCTAATCTAACTAATCTAAAGAGATCACTATTTTTACATTTTAGTTACTTTTATAATAATAAATAAAAAATAAACATGAAAAACAAGTAATAAAGTTCTTACCAATCTTCTTTTTTCTTGCTATCGATTGTCGATGACACTTAACCCTACTTTCTTTACGCTAATGGTAACAATGCACTAAATAATTTTTATTTGATTAAATAATGCACAAAAGAACATAGACTAATAACATGCAAAAAGTAGACAATTTCCCCCAACTCTCGAAATTTTTCTGCCTTTCTAACTATGCAACAAGAACTGTTATAAATTATTCAAGCTAGTTGTTAGTTTTCCCATGGGAATGAACTGTGTATTATAAGTGAAATTGGTGCTTATGTGTTCAGAACACAATATTATACAATACATCATTCAAAAAACCTTGGCTTTCTATTGGTTATAGGTAATATGTAATTAAGCTTAAATGAGAACTATTAACCAATTCTGAATGAGAGGATGTAACTGGTGGGTGTGGCAAGAGAGATCTGATTTTCTATTTGATAACTCTTTAACCAAACAGAATTGAAGGCTATAAAAATTATGATTTGCCTGAGCAATGACAATTTCATTGTGAGTAATTTACATTTAATTCCCTACTTTTTGGAGGGGTGGTAGATAAAATAGAGAAGAATGGATAGCTAGAGAAAATGTTTCATGTGTCACATTAGGAGAAATTCAGGATTTTTGTAAATATTGCCTTGTAGAATTAAAAACTTAAAACTTATTTACTATTAAAATGTGGATTATTAGCTAAAATTTTTTGCTATATTAACCCTTTCGTAACTTTTAATGCAGTAAGTGTATCTTCACAATATTTGGTTACAGTCATTTCATGGTTGTTCTTTGTTGAGAGTCACTGAATTTTTGAGTTGAGAACTAGGTGATAGTCATTTCATGGTTGTTCTTTGTTGAAAGTCACTGAATTTTTGAGTTGAGAACTAGGTGATAGTCATTTCATGGTTGTTCTTTGTTGAAAGTCACTGAATTATTGAGTTGAGCACTAGGTGACAGTCATTTCATGGTTGTTCTTTGTTGAAAGTCACTGAGTTTTTGAGTAGAGCACTAGGTGACAGTCATTTCATGGTTGTTGAGAGTCACTGAGTTTTTGAGTTTAGCACTAGGTTACAGTTATTTCATGGTTGTTCTTGTTGCGGGTCACTGAATTTTTTAGTAGAGCACTAGGTGACAGTCATTTCATGGTTGTTGAGAGTCACTGAATTTTTGAGTTGAGCACTAGGTTACAGTTATTTCATGGTTGTTCTTGTTGCGGGTCACTGAGTTTTTGAGTAGAGCACTAGGTGACAGTCATTTCATGGTTGTTGAGAGTCACTGAGTTTTTGAGTTGAGCACAAGGTGACATTCCCTAGGCTGTCATCACCATGTTCTGACCTCTCACATTGAGGCAAAAGAAAGTTTCGTTACTGATGTTACCAGTAAACATCTGGCTGTGTAATGTTTTATTGATTCCCCATTTTGATTTTCCTAGCTACACCATACAGACTTTGTTTTCTAGCAGTCTCCTTCCCTCTGAATGTTGATGAAGTTCTTACATGGTGTAGAATATGTCAATATCTCACCAGTAGAGTTGTGCTAGATTTCATGAAGAGACTTTTTATGTGAGCCTGTTGGCTTTCTCATTTAGCTTTACTCCTGCAAAGCAAGGCTTTGCATATACATCCGGGTGATGGTCTTACCCTGCAGTTGCTTTGCTTTCTGCCATTTTTCAGGGAGTCATCCACTCTGAATTTTATGTCTATTTGTTGTTATCAGCAATCCGTAGTGAGAGCTTGTTTTATGGCTTCCGACTCAGTCCTTGTGCTGCTTGGGGGAAAAGTTGAATACTCTAAAAGTTTATGAACGTCCAGCAAGCTCTCTCACTATCTCTAGTGTAGAAACCATCTGTGGTTACTGGCTATGATGACAGATGATTGTCTGTATAAGGGTGCTGACATTCTTTTTTGACTTCACCATCTACCCAGTTTCTATATTTTCCTTCTAGACTGGTTACCACATATTCCAGTTTTTTGAGGCACCTTTTAGGTAATCCCTACTTGACTTATGTCACCGTGTACTTAGAATGTCCCAGTAGAAAAGGGTAGTGATTTGATGATGAAATGCACGATCTTTACAAGGTAAGGCTCGAGTGAAGAAGTTTGTTTATTGGTGTTCTGTGATGCTGCCGTGGTCTGTGAGGTGTAATGGGGCTGAAGTAGATCCTATGTTTCGTAATCTTATCTAATCAACAGCTGTGTTAGAGCTTCTGTTGTACATATAACACATATCATTTGGTTTGACTGCCAAGGAGGACTAGATCCATAGTGCAGATGTGGAAGAGAACTGACATGAGGAGCAGTTCGGATATAATCTGATTGTCATCACAACAACTACAACCCATTTTACATACAGTACACTGATGCATTTGATAGAGAGTAGTCTGTTAAACTGAGTGTTTGAGCTTTTATTCTTGTGCATATCCTTGACCATATACAAGTTTTTACCAATCATTTGTTATTTTATACAGTACATTTACTTGTCAGAAAAAGTCATTATTATGGCACTCTTAGCCTCATCTGAAATTAAAATTTATTTAAAGAATTTGGTTGTGAAAATGATTTATAGAAGATTTATTTTTATTGGCAAGAAAATTTTGTTTTAATTGACTAGATATGGTCAAAGCAACCAGTGGATGTGATTTTGTTTTAATTGACTAGATATGGTCAAAGCAACCAGTGGATGTGATTTTGTTTTAATTGACTAGATATGGTCAAAACAACCAGTGGATGTGATTTTGTTTTAATTGACTAGATATGGTCAAAACAACCAGTGGATGTGATTTTGTTTTAATTGACTAGATATGGTCAAAACAACCAGTGGATGTGATTTTGTTTTAATTGACTAGATATGGTCAAAGCAACCAGTGAATGTGATTTTGTTTTAATTGACTAGATATGGTCAAAGCAACCAGTGGGTGTGATTTTGTTTTAATTGACTAGATATGGTCAAAGCAACCAGTGGATGTGATTTTGTTTTAATTGACTAGATATGGTCAAAGCAACCAGTGGATGTGATTTTGTTTTAATTGACTAGATATGGTCAAAGCAACCAGTGGATGTGATTTTGTTTTAGTTAAATAAATAGATATGTTGTTTGTGTAATTTATGTTCTTTTAATAATGAGACTTGCAAGTGGTTGCCCCAAATTAATTTTGCATCCCAGGCATTCTGTAAAAAAGAAACTTTAATCTGTGGTTTTTTGTTTGAACAAATTATGAAAAGAAACTTTACTTTCATTATGTAGTAACAGGGATGTTTTGTCACGAAAGATGGGAGAAGCATTTTTTAAATTTAACCGTGTCTTTAGTACTCTTAAGATTATTTTTTTGAATACAAAAGAGGATAAATTGTAAAAATAATTTTATTTTCAGTATCCATGCAATTGAGAGGAGAGCTCTACCAGAATTTTTTAATGGAAAAAACAAATCTAAAACCCCAGAAGTGTGAGTATAAAAGAATCAGCATTTTGTGTTTGCATGAAATTGAATTATAATGTTATAATTAAATTATGAAGTTAACATAATAGGGTATTAAATAATGAAAATGGAATCCTAGTATCTTAGGAACTCAAGTTGGTATATTTTCTATTCTGTTGGGCTGTTTAATTGTTTATTTGATTAAAGTCATACATGTTTTTGTGGAGAAAACTTTTTTCTAGATGGTTCAATTTGATTATTGGGTTTTGTTACATTTCATTCAATGCAAAATGGTTTTTAGCAATTTTTTTTTCTAAGCCTTGTAGTAATTTCACTTCGTAACTTCTGTTGCATTAATGAACACGTTGCACAGTTAAAGATAAACTAAAATACTTTTAATAAACAAGATACAAGGTTTCATTTAGGTTATTTCCAAACAGATGTTGAAATTATTTCAAAGTATATTTTTTGGTTATTATTATTATTCTTATAAATAATTAGATCAGATATTTGTATCCATTATTGATTGTTATTATCTTCCCTACAGGTATATTGCTTACAGAAATTTTATGATAGACACTTACCGACTAAATCCAACAGAATATGTCACAGTTACTGCTTGTCGTCGTAATCTGGCTGGTGATGTTTGTGGAATCATGAGGTAAGTGGTTACATCTTGGGCTGGTGATGTTTGTGGATCTGTGAAATAAGTGGTTACATTTTGGGCTGGTGGTGTTTGTGGATCTGTGAAGTAAGTGGTTAAATTTTGGGCTGGTGATGTTTGTAGAATCATCGGGTAAGTGGTTACATCTTGGACTGGTGATGTTTGTGGATCTGTGAGATAAGTGGTTAAATTTTGGGCTGGTGATGTTTGTAGAATCATTGGGTAAGTGGTTACATCTTGGACTGGTGATGTTTGTGGATCTGTGAGATAAGTGGGTAAATTTTGGCTGGTGATGTTTGTGGAATCATCAGCTAAGTGGTTATCTCTTGAGCTGGTGATGTTTGTGGAATCATCAGATAAGTGGTTATCTCTTGAGCTGGTGATGTTTGTGGAATTGTCAGGTAAGTGGTTACATCTTGGGCTGGTGATGTTTGTGGAATCATCAGGTAAGTGGTTACATCTTGGGCTGGAGATGTTTGTGGAGTTATGAGGTAATTGGTCACATCTTGGGCTGGAGATGTTTGTGGAGTTATGAGGTAATTGGTCAC